ATGAATAGAGATGGCTAGCAATGATCTGAGGAGGTTCATATTTTCACAAGCTCCTTTGTATGGTCAGTTAGGTGCCTTTTGATTTATATCATACTAGACAAGTTTAGCAGGAGAATGTAATTTGTTATATTCTTATCAAAGACTGAATCGTCATGGTTTTTGCTGTAAAGATTCTGCTAATAAATGCGGAAAATTGGATCTTTGAATCATGTAGCTTGCTGGACCATCTCTGTATAACGGATTTTTGTCGTATTTGCTTTGGACGAATGGATTTTCAATTCTATGTTCAGCTTGTCCGAGGAAATTTGGCTTGGTTTGTCAAGTGGCAACATGTTCAGATTTACTTGTGGCATTAAAGCGTGTGCGTGTGTGTGTTCACACGGGCGCATCTGTGTTCACACGCGCCGCGTGTGGTTGGGTTGGGTGGGTGTGTATCAATGACCATTTGTTTCTGGTTCGGGATGATACTTATAGATCTTGTGAGTTCATTTTAGGTTTGGTGTTTTCAGTTACATGCCTTGTTTTGTGTCTTTCATTGGTATTGTACTCTGAAGTTTCCTTTTGCTAATATTCTACCATTTTCTTTATTGAATTCTCTTTGTGATATGGCAGTTCTTTATTTGTTAAATGAAATTTCCTTTTCCCGGTTTGGATCGACAAAACGAGGTTGAATGCTATTATTTTCTTCTTTTGCTCTTTCAAATACCTTGCTTTTTACTGTGAAAAGATGGTAAAATTGTTGAAGGGTTTATTTCTAAACTTGTTGAGGGAATAACTACAGAAGAAAGAAAATACGGTTCTAACAGGAAGAAGCACATCTGCAGATGAAGAAGGCGGGGATGGCAATTATCTTGCGCTCATCCATCCTCTCTTATCTGCACTCTAGTCTAGTCTAATCAGTACTTTCATAATAGGATTTGCCTTTTTCTGCATGAAATGTCCCAGTTCTCTTACACTGCAAAATCCAGAGTAATAATATATAGGTTCCCATCCCATGGCAACCATCCTGCTAGTATCTCTCAATGTCAATTCCATTAGCACAGCCCTCAGATATGTCGGTATTTGGTACCTTATGGGTTCCAGTAAGGCAGTAACTGCTCAGGAACTATTCTGCAGTTCTGGATCACTACACCAGTCGTCTCCCGAATATTACTACGTCCATGTGCTGTTATTGTGTTCTGTTGGATGTCCATGGCTTCCTCAATATGATCGAACTGTTGGATGATTGCTGGTGAATCTCCAAATATGAAGCCGATGGTACTAGAGATGACCCAGTTAACTGAGTGGCATTGAGAAGTCCATTTGGTATTGCATTCTGAAGTTATGGTGTTGTGAAGCCATCTATGCAGGTTTATAGGTATGAGATTTACTTGGTGGTGGTGGAAAGCGCCTGGCCATCCTCGTCTGCGGTCGAATGATGACAATTTACTCCGGAATTTAGGCTCACGAGTAATCAGAGGACAAGAAAAATCGACAACTCTTAAGAGAAGAACTTTGTTCATATTGCCTACCTTTGTTTAAACAGCCTGTCATCAATTCGAATTATAACTGGGCCTTGAATTTCTTTTATTAAAATAATTTCTATTTATTTTTAATCACTTTCGAATTTATCTTTGGTCAAACTAGCTCGTTATAGGCCCCGTTTGGTACACATTAACGTAAAAATGAGAATGAAAAATATAGCCGTTACGGATCCCACACAAAAGATAGAAAGTCAATTATGGTGGTTTGATGTAATGAATAACGGTCATATTTTTTATTTTAATGAGCAAATAATGGGAAACAAATGTGGATATATATCAGTTTAAACAGTTGTTGATTTATATAAATAATTAAAATAAAAGTTTTAATTTTATAATTACATTCTAACTTATTGTGGATTAATAAAGTCAAGAGTTCATTTTATTAATTACAAATTAACAGCGTAAGATTTTTTTTATTTTTTTTTTGGGCTACATAAGCATCTCATTTTCTCGAAAGTGATACAGATTTTTTTTATTTCCTACACTTCACAAAAATCTAATTTTAAAAGTTATTTCGCTCAAATATTGTTTTTGAGTAAAATTTGACAGCTCTAAAAATCACTTCGATCGTTGTATTGTGAGAGTAATTATCCAAAGAAATCACAGCAGTTATCATTGAACAACTTCACTTTAGAATATCTTATTGTCACAAATATTGATTGATCGATAAGCATTCTCACTCTAGGCAGTGAATATGTTTCTTAGAAAGAGGCTATGAAGAATCAGAAAGATTAATAATGACAGTAGCTCAATTAGTTAAAAATAAAAGTAGTAGGAATGATATTAGATGGAATTAATAATTATCTACAGTGGTCAATAAAGTTAAGGCTACTCAATAAACACTCTACGTATAGCGTCCTATGCTAGGCCGCCTATCACTACGAGGCCCTCTACATTCACATTGGGCTGTCGATCACTATGAGCTTTACTACACACTCATGCTAGACCATCTACCCACACAAGGCCCCCCTATAGCCACACTGGGCTATTGACCTCATGTTCACACTGGACTATTGACCACCATGGGGCCCCTACACATGCTAGGCTACTATGAGGCCCTCTATACCTATGCTAGGCTGCCCGCTATAAAGGCTTTCTACTTCCACATTGGACTGTCAACCAATATGAAACCCTCTATACCCATGCTAAGCCTACCACTAGGAGGCCACCAACGTCCACACTAGGATGTTGACCACTATGACACCCTCTAAACCCATGCTAAATCGCCTACTACTATGAGGCTCCCTACATCCACACCGAGTTGCCAACTACTATGAAGCCCCTTATATTCATATTAGACCGTCTACCACTACGATGCAAACACAACACTTGACCATAAAAATATCCTCGAGTTGAATGGGAACTGTTTCACCATTAATATGAACACAACTAACTGCTTGATAGGTAGAGGACCCTCACTCAGAATGTAAGGATAATGGGAGGTGCTATGTGGGACACGTTGCATGATAACTGTCCAACAATTATATGGCTTCAGACGCTTATAAATACTCATCAGGCAAGACAAGTATGGATTTTGAAAATTTTGACTATTTGAATACTCATTCTATTTCTTCTTCCTGTGTTCCTAAATCACCTATTAATTCTCACATTAGAAGTATAACAGTGGAGAAAGGCCCAACTTCATTTTGCGGGTGACACTCGTTCATCGGAGTACTAGAAAAACCTAGCACCACTAGGAGGACATGAAAGTTCAAGAAATAAGAGATCCTCCCTCTCCCAACATTTCACAAAAATCTTCCTCTCGTATCATAATTGTTACGCTCCGATCTTATACGCCTCGGAACGCACAACACCACATATTCCGACCTGATAAAGACCCGTCCGAAGTGTTTTCGAAGTGACACAAGCGATTCCTATTACCGACGTGCCGAAGCACCTCGCCCCCGAGGTCGAGACCAAGTGGACCCCGGTTAGAAGATCCGTCACCAATTTCAGAAAGAGATTTGTTCCAAGATCCTTCCCGCACCTAAAGTTTAAATTGATTTGACGTCTCCATGAGGCTAGTTGATGTGATTTATCAACTTTATGTCAATTCAACTCAGAGGAAACAAACTGTCCGCCCATTCTACAGACGCGGCTGTTTGACGCCTATGAGCGGACGCCTCATACCGCCAGATGTATACACGCGTCCCACATCCAACGGTTCATACCACCTATAAATACCCAAGATTTGGCAAGAAGTAAATGTAATGAAACTCTTACTACATAATACTCCATAGCAAGTTTATATATTTTCTCCTCCCCCTTTATCATTGATTTGCATAGTCTCTGGGTACTGTTCCGATCATTTAGACCTGACTTGATCGTCGGAGTGTATACGACCGTCACCACCCCCGCTGGTTCCAGCCGTGTGCGTCTGACTATTCGCTGATTGTGCGCAGGGAGGAACACGTGGAGTAGCTTTCAGTTGGCCACGTGGAAGAACCAATTTTCGAGGTCAACAATAATCATTAAAAGATCATACATGTGCTTATATTGAACCCCATACCGTACATCTAAAAAGTTATAAATTGATGAAGTTTCAATTCGATCATTTTATTTAAATTTGTCTCAACCAGATCACTAAATTTTAATTCCGCTTTAGTATCAATCACTTCGTAAACTTCTATTACTGAACTTCAATTTTCTTATAAGCATTGTCTAAAAGCTTTTTTGGAGCGCTTTGTTTAGAGCCTAGGTGTGCCCAAGCGCAATATTTTTTGTTTTATTTCTTTATTTTCGTTTTCCACCTTTTTTAGCTTAATATTTGAACCTTATGTAGGACTATACTAATTATTTAAATGAAAAAATATAATGATTTTTAGGTTTGATTTCTTACACAGTTAGTAGTGGGGCCCTAGCAATATATGTATTATTTTATTTATTTAATAGTTTTAATATGGTTTAAAAATAAAAGAATGCAATTTTACGCTTAAGTTCGCCTAGGCTTATAAATTTTGAAATTTGATCTTATCGTCGTAGACACATTTTATGCTTCTTAGAACATTGCTACTTAATTTCACAAGTTCGTGCTACATGAACATAAAAAAGACGGACAATAACTTTTTAAATCGTGTTTAAAAATCGATGGTGATGTAGTATACTTAGTGCTCTCTCCAAATTCAAGATTTTCCCGCCACTACATTGGGAGCTAGTAGACGACCGTGATTTAGTACGGGACTAACATATAGTGATGGGGCTAATGAAGTGTCAAACATGAAATGAAAAGTTATAGTTAGATGACCTAATTGAGATTTACTGAAATTTCAATGATCAAAAATGAAATTAACAATATTTTTGTGTTAGTAAATTACTGTACTTTTTTTTCCTTGAAATAATAATATAAAAAGTAGTAAAATAAAATAAATTGTAAAATAAAACACTGAACTGTGAAATGAAGTATGGTCGTACATTCAAAATCATTAAACTTGAAATAAATAAATGATAATAACTTTATTGGAAAAGTAGAAATAGAATTAAACAGGAAACCCTAGAACCCGGCCGTCCCAACGCCGTGTTCACTCAGAGAGTCACGATTCTCAAATCATCCAACTCGTTCTTTTCTCCGATCCATGAAATTTTTTCAGTAATAATTCCTCGAATTATACAACAAATTAATTTCAACTGCGAAATGCAACCCAAATTGAAACACCAATATCTACCGATAGGGTCAGAATCGGCTAAAATTTTATGGTATGCAAATCGACAGTTTATTACTTTCTCGATTACCGATGAAATTTTTGCTGTTTTCTTTCTTTTCATTTGTTTTTCAGTTACTGTTTTTGGAGATTTCTTCTATTATTTGCAAGTTTTCACAGTTTTCTTTTAGTTAAGCTGATTGTAATATTTAGTTAAGCTGTGTTTCTGGGGTTGTAAGGTCATAGCATTTAAGTAATTGTTACAAATTATTGCTAAAAATAAATAAATTGTGGAATGTTCTAAAGACTGATGTTGAAGTAAAATTTAAGGTTTGTCATCGTTTCTTGAACTACTGTAGAGAAGCTTATTGTAATTTTCAGTACACGGGGTTTTTTTAATCGTCAAAATGAAGCTATGACCGTGTTTGATTTGAATTCTTAAGTATTAAAGATTTGTATTAGAAATTTCTGTGTCAAAATAAATTTAAAGATTTGTAAACTCGAAAGGTGCATTATTATTGGGTATGCTACTCATAAAAATTCCCACAATCTAGACTTAGATTTTGTGCCAACAATGACTACTGGTTTTGACTTCTTAAGTATGTTCTGTCTTTGGATTCAGTTTAACGTAACATAATCATGCGTTACCAAGGACTACCAGATATCTTGTGGTTTTTCTCCTGCTACCGAAATTTAAAGTCGTGAAAACTGCTGCAGTGCATCGCAAAGAATGGTCTGAACTCTGAAGATGGCATCACTTCGCTCAGCTGGATACGTAGATCCCGGGTGGGAGCATGGTGTTGCTCAAGATGAGAGAAAGAAGAAGGTTAGATGTAATTACTGCGGAAAAGTAGTTAGCGGTGGGATATACAGATTGAAGCAACATCTAGCTCGGATTTCTGGAGAGGTAACCTATTGCGACAAAGCTCCAGAGGAGGTGTGCCAGAAAATGAGAGAAAATCTAGAAGGGTGTCGTTTTGGTAAGAAAGCAAGGCAAATTGAGTACGATGAACAATCTTTTTTGAATTTTCACGCCAATGATGATGCGGAGGAAGAGCATGCTGGATATAGGAATAAAGGTAAACAGTTGGTCGGTGACAAGGGTTTAGTGATAAATATGACTCCTCTTCGTTCATTGGGATATGTTGACCCCGGGTGGGAACATGGTGTTCCTCAGGATGACAGGAAGAAAAAGGTAAAATGCAATTACTGTGACAAGATAGTGAGTGGCGGTATTAATCGGTTCAAGCAACATCTTGCTAGAATACCAGGAGAAGTTGCTCCTTGTAAAAGTGCACCTGAGGAAGTATATGTAAAAATAAAAGAAAACATGAAATGGCATCGTACAGGAAGGAGGCATGGACGACCTGGTACTAAGGAGATATCATCCTTTTATGTCAACTCAGAAAATGAAGATGAGGAAGACGAAGAGGAAGAAGAAAAGGAAGACATACATCATTTGGACAATGATAAGCTTTTGCTTGGGGATAACAGATATCACAGAGATTTTAAAAGAAGTTTCAAAGGGATCACTCCGGGTAATGGCCTTGAACCATCACCGAGAAGGCCAAGGTTTGATGCTAATATTCTGATGACACCCAAGAGTCAGATGCAAGCATCTGGCAAACAAATGAAAACAGGTTCCTCCAACAGGTCGCGGAGAGAGATCACTTCTGCTATTTGCAAATTCTTCTATCATGCAGGAGTGCCTTTACAAGCAGCCAACTCCCCTTATTTCCATAAAATGCTAGATTTGGTTGGTCAGTATGGGCCAGGTTTTGTAGGACCATCAAGCCAACTGTTATCTGGTCGGTTTCTACAGGATGAGCTTTTGACCATCAAAAACTACCTTTCTGAGTACAAGTCTTCCTGGGCAGTTACAGGGTGTTCCATTTTGGCAGATAGTTGGCAAGATATGCAGGGTAGGACATTGATCAATGCTTTAGTTTCTTGCCCCCGTGGCGTATACTTTGCTCGCTCAGTTGATGCCACTGGTGTTTCTGATGATGCTGAATATTTGTTTAAAATGCTCGACAGAGTGGTTGAGGAGATGGGTGAGGAAAATGTCGTGCAGGTAAGTTTTATATTTGCACCTGTTCTATATCCATTATTTTTATGCTCAGAATTCTTGACTCTGCTTTTGTCCTCCCCCAATCTACTCCTCGCTGATATTAACTGTAACTGTAGGTAATCACTGAAAATACACGCAGCTATCAGGAGGCAGGGAAGATGCTTGAAGAGAAGAGAGTGAATTTATTTTGGACTCCTTGTGCTGCCTTTTGTATTGATGGCATGCTTGAAGATTTTATGAAAATAAATAGGGTGCGAGAATGCATAGAGAAAGGCCAAAAAATTACAAGGTTCATTTACAATAGGATCTGGTTGTTGAATCTGATGAAAAAGGAATTTACTGGAGGTGAGGAAATATTGAGGCTATCTGTTACGCGATGTGCTTCAAGTTTTACTACGTTGCAAAGTTTGCTTGATCATAGGATTGGTCTTAGAAGAATGTTTCAGTCAAATAAATGGCTTTCATCTAGGTTTTCAAAATTGGACTTGGGTAAGGAGGTGAAAAACATTGTGCTGGATTCCTCATTTTGGAGGAAGGTGCAGTATGTTAGGAGATCAGTTGACCCTATTGTGGAAGTGCTACAAAAGATCAACGGTGATGAGAGCCTTTTGATGCCATTCATCTACAATGACATGTACAGGGCAAAGCTTGCAATTAAAATCAATCATAATGATGATGCACGCAAGTATGGACCCTTTTGGAGTGTAATTGACAATCATTGGAGTTCGCTATTTCATCACCCTCTCTATCTGGCTGCTTACTTCCTCAATCCATCTTATCGCTACCGTCCGGATTTTGTTCCGGTAGGAGAATGGTGTTTTACACAGAATATATGAAATAGTGCAGTATTAATTCTATTTTTAAAATTTTTTATTTAGTAAAATGTGTGAATTTTGTAGCATCCAGATGTTGTACGTGGACTGAATGCATGCATTGTTCGATTGGAGCCAGACAGTGCAAGAAGGATTTCTGCATCTATGCAGGTGGGGGAGTTTCCTAATAAATCCGGTAACATTTTATTTCAAGGAAAATTTTTCTAATCCATTTTCTGCACATGAATGTTCTTATGTTTTCTTGCACTGTTTCAGATTTCTGACTTTGGGTCTGCAAAAGCTGATTTTGGAACTGACTTGGCAATCAGTACCAGATCAGAGCTTGATCCAGGTACTACCGTCAAAGCACTTCGGATGAAATTTACCTTTAAGCAATAATTGAACTAACAACAGTCTCCCTATCTCTAGCTGCATGGTGGCAACAACATGGGATAAATTGTTTGGAGCTGCAAAAGATAGCTGTACGAATACTAAGCCAAACCTGCTCATCTTTTGGGTGTGAGCACAATTGGAGCATACATGATCAGATCTACAGCCAAAGGCATAACCGTTTAGCACAGAAAAGATTGAATGAAGTTATCTATGTTCACTACAACTTGCGACTTAGGGAACGCCAGATAAGGAAACGGTCTTGTGAAGCAGTGTTGTCTGACTGTGTTCTACAAGAGAGTTTATTGTTTGATTGGATTGTAGAGATGGAGAAACAAGCCTCGTTAGAAGATGAGGTAAATTTAGCATGTTCTCGTTCAAGATTTTAAACTACACTTATGCTGTTTGATGCTTTGCTTTCTTATGCTAAAGTGAAGTTTTTTATGCTAACAAAGTTAAAACCATGGAGAACTTATTTGTTGGCTTGTTGCCAATTCCTTAACATAGTTGAAGAAGTTGAACCTTCCAGTTCTAAATGAGAAAAGAATGATAATAATATTAATATTGGTAAAAGATCTGAAAGTATTTGACCGAGTGTTGATTTTGGTTTCCCTTTATTAGTATCGCATTTTTACCAATATAGCTATTTTTCCCTTTTTTTCTTTTCTGTACCCTTGGATAGTCCTGATTTTTATTTAAAATAGTAAATCGAACTTACAACCTTGAATTATATGCTATGTAACATCTTGCTTCTTGATCTTTCAAATCATGCATTAAACCACGTTCTTTCAGCTGGTCTTGAACTCTTTTTGTAGAAAATGGTGGTATGTTAATCACATTATGTTTGAACCCATAAACGAAGAAAAATGGAAAGAGAGAACAGAAACAAAAAAGAAAATTTAAAATAAAATCTGTTATATAGGCAAATTTTGTCAATCTGTTCCTGCTCTAAAAACCGCATTGAAGCTAGTAAATTTATACTGGTTCTGTATTACAGAAAAACTTCCGTGACGAGATGAAATGCCATATTTTTGGCTTCTTGATGAATCTTAGAAACTGTTGAAAACGAAGAGATTGGTTATTAATTGGATTATAACATATAATTTAGAACTTCAGAATTGCGTATAAAGATCATTTGTTGCAGTTAGACGAGCTTAATAGCCTCGATGGTTTTGTTTAAAACGCTGCTTTAATATTGGACGTCGTGTTCACTGGCTGTAGGAAATCCTTTATAGCGAAATGGAGCAGGGGGAAGCATACGAGACAGATTTAATGGATTTTGAAGATGGGAATGCTGACCCTAGAAAGAGATCAATGGAGATGATGAGTTTGGGCAATGTGGTCGAATCATTGGAAATTAACCCGGGTATTACTGATGCAGCCACCGATGATGACGATGATGACAACGATGCTGATCTCAACTTTCTTGATGACAATATAAGTGATTAATTACAGAACTTTCATGTGGCCTCCGAGCCTCCTTTTGTCCAAAAAAAAAAAGAAAAAAAGAAATACAGTGATCAACTCCTTTGTATGTATGTTCACTTTCTGTAAATGCTGAAATGCATGTTGATCCCTCAACGAACTGAGTTGATACCAAATTCCAATTTGAAGTGAAATGGAGAAGTGCTATCATGAAGATATATTGGTAGCTTAAGCAATATATGTTTCAACACGTTGATTTTTTGTCATAGTGAAACAAGGTTACCGGAATCCAATCGATGTGCTGCTTTCCAGTTGTCATATTTTCCAAAACAACAAACCCAGCCGAGCAAATAGGGCAATGTTTTAAAAATTGACCTAGAAACCAATCCGGAAAAGGACAAGGGTGAAATTAGGGGTGGACATGGGTCGGGTCGGTTCGGTTCTAAAAAGAACCGAACCGAATCAAAATTTTCGGGTATTTAATAAATGGAACCGTCGGGTCCAAATATAATTATGGAACCGTTCGGGTTCGGGTTCGGTTCCATTCGGTTCTGTACTATAATTAAATTTTTTTAACATTTATAACAACATTATATAAATACAACTAATGATACATTCAATGTTTTTGAAATATCAGAGATTAGTAAACAAACTTGTTCAAATGATCGCTATGATCAAAGTTTCGGTCGGCGGAGGTCACAGCTTCGATCGGAGGTTACAGTGTCGATCGATGATTGTATAGATTTTGAAATATTAGTGAGGCTGCGAAAGTGAGTACGAGAGTCGAAACAACGTTATGCACTTTACTGTAGGTGTTTAGGGTTATTAAGTGGATTTGATCTTGTTTGGCTAAGAAATGAAATAATAAAATGGGTAATTGGGCAAAAAATAAAAAAAAATTAGAAATGAAACAAATTATTGGGCCGAAAATTTGGATTTAGAAATCGTTAATTTGTTAATTTGTTTAGAAAAAATTAAAATTAAAATAATTTGATTTACTCAATATAAAAAAAAATTAGAAAGATTCGGTTCTTATTCGGTTCTTGGTCTAGAACCGAGAACCGAACCGTACCCGTCGGTTCTCAATTCAGATACCCGTTCGGATATTTAATTTGACAAGAACCGTCGGGTTCGATTCGGTTTGGGTTCGGGTTCGGTCGGTTCGGTTCGGAAAATTTGCCCAGCCCTAGGTGAAATGATCGAATTGAGGTCGAGCCGTGATCGAATTGAGGTCAAAATTAAATAAATAAATACACGCACAAACTATAAAATATTATAACAACAATAATTTTTTTTTAATTTTAGTACTTCTAATGCAAAGTAAATATAAATCCATGTTTGTCGATTCCCATAATTTATTTTAAAAATTCAAAAATTAACAACTAATATATTTAAAATAATTTACTTTGTTCAATTGAAATTGCTCGTGCTTTGGGCCATGATTTGTTAATGTACAGAATGAAGTATAATTTGGCTACAACATATAACTAGTTTTTATCCCACTGTAAGATAGCATCTTCTAAAAGTATCGGCACTTTGAGGGCTTGCTTAGAAGTTTCGACGTACTGGTTATGAGCTTTTTTTTTTTTAAATTTTTTATTTTAAGCATTTATTGACGGATTGATTTTGAGTGGTCCTAGTAGCGATTTTTAAAACAGTACAATCTATGACTGAGAGTTTATTATTCCCCGATTTTAAATGTTTTTTAAAAGAACAAAAGTACATATGTTCCTTAATAATATTTTTAGTTTATGAATTTTTTTTACTCATAAATGATATTTTACTTATATATAATTATTTTATTTTATTTTACATATAAGTTAATATCTAACTTAAACAAAATTAAATAAAGTTAAATTTACTTAAATTTTTAAGTTTATATTTCTACTTGTAAGTAAATTTTGCAGCTATAAGTTACTTTTATACTTTTAAATAATTTTAAGTGAATTTTTTACTTATAAGTAACTTTTGTATTTTATAAGTGAATTTTTATCTTAATAGTAGTATTTTTTATTTTATAAACAAAATTTTACACATAAAAGTGATTTTTTACTTAAAAGTAATTTCTAATTTTCTTATCTTATTACTTATACATATTTTTTTAATTATACTTTAATTTTTTGCTTATAAATAGTTTTTTGGGTTAATCTATTTTTATTTATAAGTTTTTTTTTTTTTTTTAGATATGTTAGTAAGAAATAGTTATTTTATAAAGGGTAAAAGTATAACGAAAATGAGAAATGTTACGAAAATGAGAAATGGCCAAAATTCGTCGATTTGGTGGATTGAAAGAACTGACAAAATTATACTAAACTAATTTTGGGTGGATTTTAAACCATTCAAAATCGATACCCTAAAAAACTAGCAAGCAGCAATTTAAAATTTAAAATTCAGGTATCTAATCATTTACCCTCTCTTTTCTTTTCCCTCTCACTCTCTATCTCCCTCTCGTCACTGACTCCTTCTCTTCATCTCCTTGACTCCATCCCGCGTCTCCTCTCTGTCAGACGCCGTCCTAGAGTACCCTTCGCTGGTGCTATTGTAATGAAGAAGCACCACGCTGTCGCACGTTTCCCTTCTCAAATCACCACGAGCTAAGATAGTGAAATGAAATCTCGAAGCAGATCCACCACTCCGATGGTAAAATGAAATCGCCGGAACACTGTAGCAACCCGCGCGAACCAGAAGTAGTTTAGGTTGGTGGCGATTTTGTGGGTTTGGACGGTGTTTGTGTGGTGGTGGTGATGACGATTTTGTGGTGATAGATCTGACGGTTTGGGTAGGGTTTAGATGGTGTTTTGTGTGCAGATGGTGATAGTGTTTGTGTGGTGGATGTTTTGTGCTGGTATGTGACCAATCATTTAGTTATCTGTGTCCAAATGTTTAAGTGTGACCAAAGAATTTGACAATCCATGACCAATTAATTTGACTTTGAAGTAATCTGAGACCTGTAAATTTTGGATCTGTGACCTACAAAATTTTAGATTTGTGACCTCAAAATAATCCGTGACCAATTAATTTGATGATATATGACCAGAAAATGAATATGTAACCTATAATTATGAATCTGTGACCATTAATCGTATAACTGTGACTTTATTAAATTTAATTAGTAAATATTTTCAATTAATTATATAGATACCTCAATTTTGAATTTTTCAATTATGTACCTGATTTGTGAATTGGTGTGAAAAATACACCTGAATTATGAATATTTCCCATCAGGGAAAAATACTCCCAAGTTGGTCCAGAAGGTAATTTGAATTGGTCCTGTCAATGCAATTGAGCCCAAACAAGACAGTTGAAATATTTTGTGTGTGTGTGTGTGTGTGTGTGTGTATATTGATCGATTCATTGATTTCTCCTTTTTCAATTAATATATTATTATCAGATTGAATTTGAGGTTGATTCTCGATTTTTCCAATGAATTGATCAATTTTGATTTTTATAACATTAAAATAGGGCATTGTTCCATAATATTAGCAAGCTAGCAGCACGTCGGTTCATCTCTTGCTAGGAGAAGTCTTTCTTCATACAAGAGATCGGGAAGTTGTCTTGTTTAATGTATTTCTTCAAGCTCGATTGTGTTATTCAACATATATCCAATAAATAGACTAGTTACAAAGCGTCTTCAACTAAGTTGTTAATGTATTTTAAAATATCATAATTTTTAATGAATTTCATGAATTTGAATAGATTTTTACAAAATCCATAAAAGTTTCATTAAAAATTGGGAAATTTCAGAAAAGTTTGTTATGTGTATTTTTAAGCTTGAATTCCATCCAAATGTTACCTTGAAATCCCTTTAATAATAAAATCTTTTTAAACCTACGAGTTCTACCTAAATTTTAAAGAATTTCATTAAAATATCAATTGGGGATACTTCGAATTTCGAGTCAAATATTAACTATGAGTATTTACATTACCACCACAAAATTTATTAAGTGTACCACATTATATTCACACCACAATTAAAATATAGTTTTAATAAATACACCACAACAAATTTACAATTATACTCCTAATTTTATAAAAAAAGAAAAAAAATCTAGGTTTTAATAAATACACCACAACTAAACTTCTTCTTTTTCTTTTCTTCTAAATATTTCTTTCCACTGTATACATTTTTATGCTACGTGCATCCATGGCTATATGGCTAGATGAGAAAAGTAGTAGAAAACCTTACCCATTTCTTCTCATCCACATTATTAACAGAGATGGGTAAGGTTTTCTTCTCATTCACACTTATTTTATTAATTATTTTTTCAAAGAAGGGAAAGATAAAGAAGAAGAAGAAGAAAACTTGATTTCAAAAGAATGGTTCTAAATCTATTTGTTAGTGAATTTGATTTATAATTTCAGAGAGGTCATTGAAATATTTGAAAGTTATTAAAAGAAGATGAGACAAATTACAATACACACGAGGAGAGATGCACATTTGTGGTCTTTATTTTGTAATTTTCTAGAGAGTCTAAACTTTTAAGGATGAAATTTAAATTTCTGTCAACCTTTTTCGATAAAAATTATTATACACCTGGTTTTAAATCTATGTATTTATTCATTTTGATGAGTGAAGATTTCAGTGACATAATTAATTCTATTTGGTACAATATGACTATTCTGATTCTCTTGCTAATCTTAAAAATTATTGTATCACTAAAATGTTTTTCCTCCCTTCACTTTTCCTTTTCCCTTGGTCTGCATCATTCATAACTTTTATTCAAGATGGTATATATATTGCTATTCACTTAAAGAAGATTAAACAAATTGATGAATTCTTACATGTGGTATCATGGAACAAGACTAGCAATTATAGAAAAGAAGAAGAAGAAGTAATTAGATTTAGATTTGTGGTGTGATTAATTAAAATTATATTAATCCTAATTATGTAATTTTACTTGAAGCTATTTAAGTAAATAGGAAAAAAATTAAAGATTGTGGTGCACTTAACAAATTTTGTTGTGGTAATATAATTACACATTAACTATTCAAAATACTTATTTTTATACTGTTTCGGAAAACTCAATGATCCAATCGTATGGATACAAAATATAGAATTTGCAATTGTAGAAAAAGGGAAATGATCGATACTCAATTTATAGTGAGGTCCCGTTTGGTACCCATTTTTTTCAAAATGCATTTTTCTCTTTCTTCTTTTTAACCACACATTTTTTTATTAAAATAATATTATACGTAAATCAAAAACTTTTTTTTTATTTTTCAATCACACATTTCC